ATATTCATACATCTATCTATAATTAAAATGATCACAAGATTTTTAACTTAAGGTAGTACTTATTGCATGCATTTCAGAAACCTATTGTATATCCATATATGTGGCTCTTTAACAAATATCAGATTCTGCTAATTGGATTGTATTTCAACCAGATATAGTAATTGATGCTAAACTAGGTGAGTGATTTGAAATAAGAATATTTCTATGTATTTTCCCTCATTGCACAAAGTATATAGTTGCCAATTGGTAAGATCTATCAGGTGCAGAAAACTAGGGAGTAAAACTCCTTTAATTTCATTTATATATGGTTTATATTTTAATATGATGCACTCATCAGGTCTATAGCTATAGGGGGGAGGGGGGGGGGGGGGCAAATTTCCGTCTTACTGCTTTGTGAGCATATACTTATACTATGTCAGGCTGTACTTAAATAAATGTAAAGATGATATTGGTTTTTTCTAGGTTGTTTGTGGTATATTAAGATCAATTTAGAGCCATTAGTTACCATGATTTATGAAAAGGTGAGATATTTATTATGTTTTTTTAAATGATATTCTATATATTTCAAATTAGTACTAAAATATTTTAAGAATTTTGATGATTTTACATAAAAATAATATCTAGCCTAAAAAATCTTGCCCTTCCATGTTCCTTAGACACAATATACAAATATGATATCGTTATTGGTAGGGATCTGTCAAAATCAGGCTACATGCAATTGAATAGACAAAGCACTCGTATCAAATTTATTTTCACCATGTAACTTATTTTAATGAATTGTGTACAAACTAGACGTCTTATTTACATGACTAAAAAGTGATATGTGATATGTGTACCTGGTATAGAAAATATTTAGTAAACTGAATTGAAATTATTTGTGTAATTTTAGACGACGTTGATAAGTTTTCTATTAAAACGTAAAGAAAGTAAGATGGTCATATTGTCAGTGTGTCAGAAGATGTTAATACCTGGTCAACAAGCTAACCTACATACTATAGCTACAGTATATGACATGTTGAATACAGTCTTCAAATCATATAGAGATACAGAAGCACAAGTTAACGTAAGTCTTATACCCAGACAGGGCATGCTTACTCTTCTAGACACCTGATACCCTTTTCATTATGCAATAATTACTCACTTATGATTTATATACTTCCTAATGTGAAAAGTTCATTCTGCTAAAAATGTTTTGATAATTGATGTTTGGATATTGTGGTTCAGATCATTATTACTGTACTTTGTTTAATTATTCTAGAATTGTATAAATTACACTTCTTACTTTTCTTGTGGCATGATTTATTAGTTAACAGAATTAACCAACTGGTTCGACTAGAATATTGATGAAAGTCGACTTATTCAAAGATTTTTACACTGACTGAGATTAGAACCCTTGACCACCCTTTGTTTGATGTCACCAAGTTATGTCATGATCCCAAATGATGTCACCAATTTGAATAATCCCATAAGCCTGACAGTCATACTCTTGGGTATATATCCCTATAAATATACATGTAATTTTTTCATACCTTTGTGTCCATTTTAGAATGGTGAATTACCACATAATGTATTGAATAGTTGGAAGAAGAAAGTTATAATAGATCAATCTGACATGTTTACTCATGTTTTTTCTGTTTACGAAGACTGTAAGGTAAACAATTTTCACTTCTGTTAATGAAGGAAGACTGTAATGTAAACAATTTTCAGTTTTATGGAGATTGTAATGTACACAAAATGAATTTGAATGTAAACAATTTTCTTTTCGGTTAATGAAGATTGTAATTTAAACATATTCACTCTTGTTTATGAACCATTTTCAGTTTTGTTCAGAAGATTGTAATGTAAACAATTTCTGTTCTGTTTATGAAGATTGTAATGTAAACAATTCTCTGTTCTGTTTATGAAGATTGTAATGCTAACAATTCTCTGATCTGTTTATGAAGATTGTAATGTTAACAATTCTCTGATCTGTTTATGAAGATTTTAATGTTAACAATTCTCTGTTTTGTTTATGAAGATTGTAATGTTAACAATTCTCTGATCTGTTTATGAAGATTTTAATGTTAACAATTCTCTGTTCTGTTTATGAAGATTGTAATGTAAACAATTCTCTGATCTGTGAAGATTGTAATGTTAACAATTTTCAGTTCTGAACATTCAAGTTTGATTTAATGCTGACAATTGTATGTAATTTTAGGATATCAAGTATAAGTTTATGGTAGCTGTATTAATAGAATATATAAGATCACTGAATCAATTCAATATGGCAGTACAGGTACAATAAATATGTAATATATTATATATTATTCAATATAAATGCTGGTGTTACTATTCAAGTTATAAGATACAATATCAGTTTTATAATTCAGCAATATTTATATAAATTTTAAAATGTGATTTCACCATTATTTTATATAAATTATAAAATATAATTTCACCATTATTTATATAAATTTTAAAATGTGATTTCACCATTATTTTATATTAATTTTTAAAATATAATTTCACCATTATTTATATAAATTATAAAATATAATTTCAGCAATATTTATATAAATTATAAAATATAATTTCACCATTATTTATATAAATTTTAAAATGTGATTTCACCATTATTTTATATAGATTATAAAATATAATTTCACCAGTATTTATATAAATTATAAAATATAATTTCAGCATTATTTAGATATAATTTCAGCATTATTTATATAACTTATCTAATATAATTTCCGCATTATTTATATAAATTGTCAAATATAATTTCAGCATTATTTATATGAGTTAATAATCAATATATTGGTGAATAATAAATGTTTCTATCAACTTCACCAGTTTCTACAATATCATGTTCTTAGTGATAGTAAACCATTGGTAAGTTACATCACTTGCTTTTATAATTATAGACTGTTATAAATCAATTTATAGTAAACTAGGCCAAGATTCATCTCATTACATACTGCATGGTGCTGTCCCTTTCCTAAACCTGAACTGGATCAGAATGGAGGACAACTCTTTGTTTGTTTTATTTCAATTCAATATTTGTATTTTATAGGCATGCTTAATGTTGTCATTAGAAAGTGTTTACCAACCAGCACATCAACTAGCTCTAGATATGTTAAAGGTAAAATATTGTCTTAATTTTTCTATAACATTAGTCCAAAACATATGCCTCTATTCCAGCCTCTGATGGATATTGTGAAAGTTATCAGCTGGAGTAGAGTCAGGAAAATATACTCTGTTAATAGGGGATTTATATCTCTTTTCAGAAACATGTTAATCTTGTTAAGACAATATTGTGTGTCAGGCAATGTTAATGAGATATACATACCTCTTTCCAGACCCCCAGAGTTATGGATTTCTTTCTCTTGGTTAACCTCAGATACCCATGATAGTTTGTGTTGATTGTGATCTGACAAATTTGAGCTATGCTTGCATCAGTGAACTTTGACCCTGAAAAACAAGAGAAACATACAGATGTCTTCTCTATTTTGTAGTCACAATATGACAATTCTTACATATAGTACACTTTTACAAGATGGGATAAGCATACCCCTTTACTGTATGTATGACAGAGGAGCATCATAGAATATCTGGTGAGTGCAGCACTCATTAATGGTTTAACTTTGAATAGATACCACTAAAACTAGTTATGATCACTGAAGAACTGTGTAGGGCCAGAGTTGACTGAGCTTTTGAAAACAACTAGGCCCTAAATCTTATATTTTCAGAGATTACAAACAGCCAACGAAGAGATAATTGAAGTTTTGTTATCAAAACAACAGTTATTACAAGCACTCAGGTCAGTTTTGTCATTTAGTTTTTCGTGAAAATGTGGTCTAATTGAACTTGAAGAAGATCCCTTGCTTCAATATTGCTTCAAATGCATATGCAAAATCTTGGACAGTCCATAACTTTGGGAAATTCCATAGTCAGTCCATATTCTTTCACCGTTTCCAACTGTTTGATCTTTAACATGCTGTCTGCAGACCACAGAGTTTTTGTTTCTTGTCCCAGATGTTCATGTCATCACCTTTGACTTTTTCACTGAGAAGGAAACACAATGAAATCAAGGGTTAGAAGTTGAAGACTCAACTTACCTTTGATAGATTGAGATGTTTTATTTGTAGGTTTATACGAAGTGTTGGTATAGTTGATACAGTATCATCAAGGAAGTTTTTAGAAGCTGGTCTTAATACTAATGATGATATGTTATTCTATACTGTCTTTAAATTCTTTGAAGCCAGAAATTTACGTCTTCGATCCAATCCAAGATTTCAACAAGGTAAGTGACATAAAAAACTATGTGTCGTTCTTACATAAAAATAGCAGATATGAACTTAGTTGACGCTAGACTAAATGGATAGATATTTCAGAAAGGTAATGAAAATGATAATAAATCATTTCTATTTGCCTGGGAAAGAAATTAAGAGTCAGCATTCAACTATTATGTCAATTCACACAAATGACACGATTTGGAAGGTTTTAATTTCAATGCAAACTGTTGTAAGTTTAATGTAAACTTAACGTTTCTGGTTTTGTGATTAGATTCTGGTAACAAGGCAAGGCACATAGTATCATGAGCAAGAAATAGTCTTCTTTGTTTTTTTTAAAGTAATCCAGGCTGTAAAATGTTGCATTCGCAAAATATCCCCTCAATGTCGTCACAATGTAAGAAAATTACATGTAAAATGAGAAATTTGAGGGTTCAGAAATTTGTATGTCAATGTGTTGTATTGTTGTCAATTTATATATCAATGTGTTGTATTGTCAATGTGTTGTATTGTTGTCAATGTGTATATCAATGTGTTGTATTGTTGTCAATTTGCATATCAATGTGTTGTATTGTTGTCAATTTATATATCAATGTGTTGTATTGTTGTCAATTTGTGTATCAATGTATATATCAATGTGTTGTATTGTTGTCAAATATCAATTTGTATATCAATGTGTGGTATTGTTGTCAATTTATATATCAATGTCTTGTATTGTCAATTTATATATCAATGTGTTGTATTGTTGTCAATGTGTTGTATTGTTGTCAATTTATATATCAATGTGTTGTATTGTTGTCAAATATCAATTTGTATATCAATGTGTTGTCATATTGTATATCAATCTGTATTTTAGGTGAACACTGTGAACTGTATGTGAAACATTTTGAGTCAGTGTTTGGTATAGAAGCTTTGGCTGCTGTTCCTGTCAGTTAATGGTATCACAACGCTCAATTCTCAACTCTGGGAACATACAAGCCAGTAGCACAATCCAAGTTAAATTGAAGGGATTTAGAATAAGGATTGAGAAAAAAGACACAATTAGTCATACTTTCAAAGAGAGGAATTTGCTTCCATTACACCTTGAGATGTAAATGTGCAGATATTCCTATTAAAGAAATTGTAAAGAGGTTTTCTAAATTTTGTATGTGTATTGGGAACACTGATATCACCAATTTGCACCATTCCTGTTTTCAAACAGACGTCTATGTTTCCTGCAGTTTAATCGCGAAGAGTCTTATGTGATAAAGCATATTTTGAAATTAGTGGTGTTATCAAACATTAAGTTTCAGTAGAATTGTAGGAACCATAGACATCTGATTGAAAATTGGAATAGTGCAAATTGATGCTTTCAGCGTCCCTGATACACAAAATCAATTTAGAAAACTTTTTTACAATCCCTTTAATGCCAGTGCAATATGTTTTTGTTATGTTGATATTTATGTAATTTGTTAAAGTTATTATGAATTAAGACATAAAATGGAATCAAAATTTCTTAAATGAAATATAATGTATATTAAGTTTATTTGATAGAGCTTAATTTAACTCTCAGCACTCTCTCTCCAAATTTAACACAAAATGAAGACATACTAATAAAGTTTTTTGGAAGGGATTCATTGCCAAAACCATTCACACAAATCAATCTAGGAAACTTTGGGTCAACTTCATAAAGTCATATTTCTGTTTTACATATTTAGAAATATATCTTTCTAAAATTAATCTCATTTATTACAAAGTGAAGAAAATTCATTGTTCAATTTTCAAACTTTCTTTCACGAAAATGTTAACTTCCATACAAAAACTTACTTTCGAAAATAAATTCTGTATTTTGCACCAGTTATGTAATTAACAGGCTCTTGTGCAACAACATAAATCAATTATATAAAAAGGAATTCACGGAAACAAGCAGGAAATAAAAATTAACGCTAGTATGCCATGTCTGATATAACACCTTATTAAGAAGTCAAGATACATTAATGAATTTATTTTGAAAAGTTAAAGTTTCAATGTTGTATAATTTCAGATTTTCCAAATAAATTAAGAGTTTCTTCACTTTTTAATAAGGTTCATTTTTTGATTTTAGAAATTTGTAAGATGGAAATATGACTTTATGAATAATTTTCACAACAAGTCCCTTTCAATAAAATTGTGGGCTGTCATTTCTCAAGGACCAAACATTCTCACGAGAAAAACTTCAAAATGTGCATAAACACCAGATATCAGATTCATAGTCTTAAAAGTGGTAGAGAGAGCTAAAATTGAGCTTAATATTTATACTACCAGCTGAAATTAAGCTCTATATTTAAACAGCATGTATATCCCTAAAATTTCTCTTTTATACTTTAATAAAACACATGATTGTTACATATTTATATTGTCATTAAATATATTTTCATATATTATTTATCATGGTAGTGAATTTAAAGGAATATATGGTCTTCGGAATTTTAAGAGAACCACAAAACCATTTTGATAAGTGATACAGGTAACATTGTCCTGTATCAGCTGGTAAAGCAATAATTTGTATGTCATTCCTAATCATACACAAATGGGACTCAAAAATTTTCCTGGACATTTCCCAACATCTGGTGTATATATTCTAGAAAATTAGACCATGTCATCAATGTAAAATATAAGCAATCCTCATACAAACTTCCTTTAAATTATAATTTACATTTTTTAATCCAAAGCTTTTGATGTTCGCTGAATCAGAAAAAAATGACTAAACCTATTTATGTTAATAACTCAACTCAATCTGTTTTTTAAATGGTTTGTTACTGTAAATATATAAATGACAAAAATGAAGTTTTCTCAGCGCTCTTTCATTAAAGGGACATTCTGCTTTTTTTGTAGGTCAAAATTTTTTGTTCAAATTTAACACCAAAACCTAGAGAAATGTGCCCTTTAACGAATCTGAAAGTTTTAACTACAAAAGCCAAAACTTTACGTAAATGGATTTGAGTAAAATAAACCACTAATGATAGAGAAATATTTCTCCTACATATTCTAAAGACTTTACCTGATAATATTAAGCCACTATAAAACCAATCACCGAAACTAAGTCAAACTGCTTAATTAACAATTAGTACTCTCAGTTTTTAATTAACCCTTTAAAACAAATTCAGTTTTATCCAGAAGATAAATAGATATAAATAGCATACTTTAGAAATATTTTCAGGTATAATTTATGATGTTTTTCATAATGAAAAAAAGCAGAATGCCTTTTTAAAGTAAACTTAAATCTTAATTAAAACTTTCTCTATAAATAATTACATATATTTTACATTACCAACATTTCATTCTCACCGGTCAAAATTATTACTATTATTTGTATCACATTTCCATAAAACTCTAGAACTATGAATAAACTTAATAAGATATTAAAGCAATTGAGGTTTATTATAATATAAATTACAACAGTAGGCTAAGCATAATTTAGAGGTAGTTAAAATCTGACGTGTAACTTGCTAGTTACTTTACCCCCAAAAACAAAATGCACTAATTGTGTTCATGTGTGGAACAAAATAGTAAGGCCCTTACTGTTACATTATGGTCTTAAAATATCAAGTCTGTATTAAGAGTTATCTCCCTTGGAAGAGCAATTCAGATGGCCTGAGAGCATCTCCACAATGATCAAGTATTATGAACTTTGTACTTATACCTTGACTGCAATGGTCATCTTTCTTGTATTAGGTAGTTTTTAAGTGAAATGATATGATTGCCGTGAACGCTAACGAATACATTCATAATGTTTACAGCCTTTCTGTTGAGGGCTATGATTGGTTGTATTTGCTATCAATCAAATCGATGATTTCTGATACAAGAATAGTGGCCGTTACAGTCAAGGAAGTTTGAAATAGCTTGATATTGTGAAGATAGAAAAAGACTGATCAGAATATTAATCATATTAGGATGCTCTATACCCAATCCTATTAATTGGAGGCATCAATTCCTGTACAAAGTGCTGATAGTCCTTTAAATTTCCTGTTAAAATGAGAGTAACCTTAAACAGTCACGTGTAATGAAGCTACAATTCAGAGGAAAACACTTATGCCTACTAAAAAACTGATCTTCGGTTTCTCTTAACCAAAGTTTTTAAAAGTAATAATGTTCATAAGGCATAAATAATAAATTTGAAACTCAACATGCTTAACAAAACCATTGAATCTATAATTATAAAGGTCGCACTTGTTTTAACACATCAAAAAATTAAAATTCTAACAAGTTTTTTTTACAAACAATTTTGTGACATTTATGTAACAGTTGAAAAGTATAAACATCGTGAAACAAATGTTATTACTTGAGAACTTAAATCACTATGAATTAGGGCTGGGCGATATACCCTTATCATGATAAATACTGGCAAAGGAATTTATATTGTTAGTTATTCATGATATATGGTAATTATCATGATATATCATCAAATTTTTGTCCAGATAAGATTATCTACACAATTTTCACAAGTAACTTAATACATTATATTCAAGACTGGAATATTTATAAGAGATATTTTTAGTTATTTCTTACATATAAAATTTTTAGATTGAAAACAACATATTGTATCAAAAACCAGCAAAAACTATACCTAAGAAATATCGTGATGGCATATACCCATAGCTTTATATCGTGATATCAACTTGAACCAATATCGTCTTAAAAATATTTAAAATGTATCGTGATGGCATATACCCATACCTTAATATCATGATATCAACTTGAGCAAATATCGTCTTAAAAATACTTAAGAAATATCGTGATGGCATATACCCATAGCTTAATATCGTGATATCAACTTGAACCAATATCGTCCAGCCCTACTATGAAAATATATAAATAAAATAATCGGAATCTATTCGTTATCATTACAAAATAATTCATTATCATCGAAAACACCGGTCAAACTATCAAATTCAACATACAATCCATATACGTATAGATACCAAAATAAAACTCTTGGAATTTTATTTGCCAAAGATAGCTTTGTTTTTGAATAAGAGCATTTTGCAAAACGGAAACCTTCACCAGTATGAAATATTCTTTCAGATTGTCAATAGAGTCTTCATTAAATAATAAATTGTTGAAATCTTTCACGACTTTAAGTTCTTTTAAGTGTTTACAAGGTAAACTTCATAAAAACAAGTACAGTAGCTCATTTAATATTGTAATATGACTGCATCAGATCTAGATAATATTAATAACCATCAAAGCGTGTATCTGTGCACTGATAGTTAACAATTATCAAAACTGCTTATCACAAACTTCCTTGACAGTAAAAAATATTAGATTTAAAATGAAACATAATTATTACCAGCTGAATGTTTCTTGTGAAACATTTGATCACATTTTTTTGTCAATAAGATTTTTTTTCTAATTTTGTGCATGTGAGAAAATAATTATTAACTATTTTTTAGATTTTTATAATAACAGAACTTTATAGCTATTAGAAATTAATATTTTTGAAAGATAATAACTGATTGTCGTCACAAACATTTGAGGGATTCTGATAATAGTAAAATATAACATTCAAAAATCTGGAGATGTTTTTGATAGTAGATATATGGATTTTTAACTTGGTGGGGCTTTCCGTATATATATAAAAAAAATTAGCATAAACAATTTAACAAAATTTAACTAATATATATCATCATGATTGGATATAAAATCAACACAACAAAAAAATAGTTTTTCACAACTATAGAAGCACACACTTGTATACTAACAAAAATAACTCAACTCTTAAATAAGGATTATTCTAACACATGGCTCTTTTCTTAACTTTATGGAGGGCAATATTTGTAAAAAATATAAAAAAGTTTCATAAAACAATTAAAAGACTCCAATGCCTTTAAAATTTCCTTTGAGTATTTTTAGCTATTATATAAAGAGGCAGTATATGCCGTGAACACAATAGATACACAAAGATAAGCAATTTAATATTCAGACAACTGCTTTATCTGATTAAGTAAATTTCAGTGAAAAAAAAGAAAATGCATGTTAAAGGGACAGTTGCGTCATTTTGGGGGGTTGATTTCAATCTGAAATATATATAAATAGTCTTCAGGAGTACTAGAAATGTACGACAATCACATAATTCTTTAAAAACTATCTCAAACTACGAATCTCTTTTCCTATTTCTATATATGCCTTTCTATATATACCAAGAACTGACAACTCTTCTTTTTAACTTTCAAACACAGATAATTCTGGACACACATAAATTTGAAAGCTCAAATTTCGACAGTGAATTGTAAACACTATTACTAGTCAAAAAAATGGTGCCCCTGTCTCTTTAACAAATTTTACTTTACAGTGGGTTATGAGATTTGTTCTGTAAATATATAAAAATAATATTAGAATGATGCATTATGGAATATATTGATTGGGTTTATTAAGGATCACAGACTAGTATATTAAATGACATCACATAGCGAAATACAAAAAATATTCAAGACTTTCTGCTTCTTCCTATAAAATTTCTGAAAAGAACCATGTTTTATTTTATCCATGTCAACATCCATCTTGATTTATCAAGAGGGTGCGAGTTTAATGACAGATAGCCCTTGATACAGCAAGTTAAATCCTCATCTACAAATATAGTAGATAATCAGTGCATACTTACTTTCCTTTATTTTTTGTTTTTTATTGAATATTTTTTTTGTCAAAAACTAAATTTAGACCAAAATTAGTAACATTTTTATTGACTGGCAAGATCAAAGGTTAAACATTGTCAGACTCGAACACTCTTGATAAATCAAGCTGGTCTTCTTCATATTTTACAAAGTATTAAACTTGGAATATTTTTCAATCTCTTTTGGTAGAGAGGTAACCATTTGGTTCTCCTGAAGCTTGATTGATGTAGCCATTCTTTGAATATCCATTTTCATGTGACTTTCTTTCAGTGCCTAGACGTTTTTTCTTGGTGTAGGCTTGAACATAGAAATTTCCAAAGAGGATCAACATGAACACCATGTAGGATGCCAGCAAAATTTGGCCCCATCGTGGGAAATCACAGGTATAAAAGAACAGGGAATTGACAGTATGTGTAAACGTAATCACAAACTGCACCTGTAAATTAACAGAAAGAATATTTGCATGCTTTTCACTGAGTATTTTGTTATATAAATTAACCTTTGACCTGAACAATGTAAATATTTTCTAATAAACACAATAGGAACCAAAACTTGATCCAATTCTTCAGTTTTCTTTTATCTTGCTTTAAGGACAATATATTCCATAGTCTAAATGACTATAACTGGTGCAATTAATTGCAAAAAGTAGCTAAACAATGACCAAATATTCAAACAATATCAAATCTACAATATTGTGCTATGATTTAACTATTTTTGGTCCTGTTTTGTACATTAATGTCTCATACAATGTCAAAGTCAAGCCTTGATAATTTGTATTGTGAAGGTTTTCACAGTCGCCAGATATCATTAGCAGCTTTTACAATATTTATGTCATAAATGCTAATTTTCATTGAAATTACAAGAATCATTGACATCTAATCAAAAATTTGAATAGTGCAAATTGACCCCCCCCCCCCAGTTTTCAGGATAGACTTTGAAAATCATGAAAACCTTTTTACAATCCTTTTAATAAGTGTTGACAGTATACATCAAAGTAGTATCTTGTGAAAAGATAACTTACCAATTGAAAGGTGGTAATATAGCGTTTCCACCATAATTTTCCTTTAAAATAAGGTATAGCTGATAATGTATAGTAAGAATACATTACAACATGTACTAGACAATTTAACATACTACCAAACCAAGCTGAAAAATAAAAATATTTTGTTATAATAGTGCTTAATTCATCAATTGTAGAGTGATATAGAAATACCACTGTTAAAATAGTGATCAATACATTAATTGTAGAGTGATATAGAAATACCACTGTTAAAATAGTGATCAATACATCAATTGTAGAGTGATATAGAAATACTACTGTTAAAATAGTGATCAATACATCAATTGTAGAGTGATATAGAAATACCACTGATAAAATAATGTTCAATACATCAATTGTAGAGCCATACAGAAATACCACTGATAAAATAATGTTCAATACATCAATTGTAGAGCCATACAGAAATACCAATGTTAAAATAGTGATCAATCCATTAATTGTAGAGTGATATAGAAATACCACTGTTAAAATAGTGATCAATACATCAATTGTAGAGTGATATAGAAATACCACTGATAAAATAATGTTCAATACATCAATTGTAGAGCAATATAGAAATACCACTGTTAAAATAGTGATCAATACATCAATTGTAGAGCAATATAGAAATACCACTGTTAAAATAGTGATCAATACATCAATTGTAGAGCCATACAGAAATACCACTGTTAAAATAGTGATCAATACATTAATTGTAGAGTGATATATAAATACCACTGTTAAAATAGTGATCAATACATCAATTGTAGAGTGATATAGAAATACCACTGATAAAATAATGTTCAATACATCAATTGTAGAGCAATATAGAAATATCACTGTTAAAATAGTGATCAATACATCAATTGTAGAGTGATATAGAAATACCACTGTTAAAATAATGTTCAATACATCAATTGTAGAGCCATACAGAAATACCACTGTTAAAATAGTGATCAATACATTAATTGTTGAGTGATATAGAAATACCACTGTTAAAATAATGTTCAATACATCAATTGTAGAGCAATATAGAAATACCACTGTTAAAATAGTGATCAATACATCAATTGTAGAGTGATATAGAAATACCACTGTTAAAATAGTGATCAATACATCAATTGTAGAGCAATACAGATATACTACTGTTAAAATAGTGATCAATACGTCAATTGTAGAGCAATATAGAAATACCACTGTTAAAATAGTGATCAATACATCAATTGTAGAGTGATATAGAAATACCACTGTTAAAATAGTGATCAATACATCAATTGTAGAGTGATATAGAAATACCACTGTTAAAATAGTGATCAATACATCAATTGTAGAGCAATATAGAAATACCACTGTTAAAATAGTGATCAATACATCAACTGTAGAGCAATATAGAAATACCACTGTTAAAATAGTGCTTAATACATCAATTGTAGAGCGATATAGAAATACCACTTTTAAAATAGTGCTTAATACATCAATTGTAGAGTGATATAGAAATACCACTGTTAAAATAGTGATCAATACATCAATTGTAGAGTGATATAGAAATACCACTGTTAAAATAGTGATCAATACATCAATTGTAGAGTGATATAGAAATACCACTGTTAAAATAGTGATCAATACATCAATTGTAGAGTGATATAGAAATACCACTGTTAAAATAATGATCAATACATCAATTGTAGAGCCATATAGAAATACCACTGTTAAAATAATGATCAATACATCAATTGTAGAGCCATATAGAAATATTCAAACAAAATCTAAACAAACGTGTTGTTGTTACTCAGAGTTTCCCGCAATGTGATTTTCAGACAACTAACCTATTTTCAGCTTCTGTCCCTACTAAAGTTAGACGAGTAGAACTTACTCCCATGTCTATACTTTGAGACAAGTTTGGAAAAATAGATTGAACAATATAAGTTGGATTAATGACCTAGGAGCATTGAGCTCATTCCCAAAAACACCTAGTGTAAACATCATCACAAATCACAGTTACAAAATATTCCAAATGATAACTGGTGAAACACTTACATTAACCACCCTTGTTAACATGGTAAAATGTTGAATACTTACATTGACCACCTGGTGTAAACATCAAACTATATTTAATATGGTAATAAGGTAAATACTTACATTGACCACCTGGTGTAAACATGAACTATATAAACATGGTAATGCTGTAAATACTTACATTGACCACCTGGTCTAAACATCATGAACTATATAAACATGGTAATGCTGTAAATACTTACATTGACCACCTGGTGTAAACATCATGAACTATATAAACATGGTAATGCTGTAAATACTTACATTGAACACCTGGTGTAAACATCATGAACTATATTAACATGGTAATAAGGTAAATACTTAAATTGACCACCTGGTGTAAACATAATGATCTATATTTAGCATGGTAATACTGTAAATACTTACATTGACCACCTGGTGTAAACATCATGATCTATATTTAACATGGTAATACTGTTAATACTTACATTGACCACCTGGTGTAAACATCATGATCTATATTTAACATGGTAATACTGTTAATACTTACATTGACCACCTGGATTAAACATCATGATCTATATTTAACATAGTAATACTGCTAATACTTACATTGACCACCTGGTGTAAACATCATCACCCACCACCATATATTTAACATAGTAGCATGATGAAAAACATGTAAAAATGTGATTTGATCAAATTTCTTTCGTAACACCATTAAAACTGTATCATTTAATTCTATAGCCTTGGAGAAGAAGTACCACCACATAACTTTAGCTACCTGAAATCAAAACAAGAAAATTTTTATCTTAAGGTCATTTTACTGACATTGGTCACCATAAATTAGAACCACTCAAAAAAAACAATCATACCCTTAGTCTCAGAAACATCAATTTTTGAACCATTGAAATTTGAGCCTTTAAATCTATGTGTGGACAGAATTATCAGTGTTTGAAAAATTAAAATGGCAAAATATGTGAATAGACATATTATATAGAAATAAAATTCCTAGTTTAAGATATTTTAGAAGGGATTACGCCAATTTCATACATTTTTAGTACTTCTGCAGACTAGTCACATATATTCAAGACTCAAATATACCTCTGAATATGCTAAATCTGTTCCTTTAACATTAAATAACCAAGTTATTTCTTTTTTATGTCTTATTCATCAATTCCCTGGCATTTTTACTTTCAAATGTGGACAATTCATGACTGCTAGGAAACTTTAACAGCCTGAAAGTTTCATGGTATACTTTTTGTTTTATTGTACAGGGACATGCATTCATATTTTGATTCTACACAGTAATACAATCTCAAAGTACACTATCAACTGATAAAGAAACTATTTAACAATACAGTGAATATTTTGATACTTAAGATGTATTTTGACCCTGTCATGTTATTATCATATTAAACTTAAGGTTGAACAGCACCTTACTTGGTCTAGAGTAGACTAATAATCATATAATATCATTATAATCTTATCTCAATCAGATATATATCACTATAACCTTAACTCAATCAGTCAATCACTGAGTTATCTTAGCTCTTATTGATAAAGGCATGTCACAAACTCTCCCTCTCAAAACAAATTATTCTTTGGCTGTATTTGCTGGTTATATCTAATTAACCAGCTTCAATCAGTCCAATGTATGTTACTACTATGGTGGCATGCATGTCTCTTTTAAAGAAATGGTCAAGCACATTGTCAAGTATCAATCAAAAAACCTGTTCTCTAAATAAAATATGTGGGGTGTGGTTAGCCATAATGCCTTTTGTTTGCCATTTATCGTTGCAATGTACTAAAACAACATTTATAGGTCTTTGGGTACAGCCTAAATTAAGGAACAGTGTTATGAAAGGTTTGTAAGGATAATTATATATTTTTTTAAACCAAATAATGTCAAGGCTAAAAGACATCGAACTTGAACATGGACATAAACTGTATTTTATATCAACCAAAACATTGTTATGCAATTTTCTTTCGAACACCTCTAGTTGGAAGGCAACCAACTGTCGGTGTTAACATTCTTACTTGATCTTGAAACAAAGTTTGATCAGGATATTAATAGAAAAAGCAATTCTCCCAGCGTTATTGTTATTAGAATTTATATAACTCAGACAATAGTTAAAAACACTCGCAGACCATCAACTCCAGGTGTAAAGAGATCCATTTCTTATATTGATTGATGTCTATAATAGCCTGTTAAAGGTATACTACTTCTTAGGATGTAGGAGGGTTCACCTCATTAGCAATAGCTTTTGCAGAATGGTTGATGGAAAAGTAGACTCTTTGTCTATTTCATATCTATTGAGGACACTGATAGCATCTATTTGCGCCATCAAAATTTTCAGTCAGATGTCTGTGGTTCCTACAATTCCACTAAAACTAAGCATTAAGATGTCACTAATCATAAAATATGCTCAATCACTTAAGACTTAGTTTTGGTGAAATTGAACCACAGACATCTGTCTGAAAATTGGAATGGGGCAAATTGATACTATCAGTGTCCCTGATACACATACAAAATTTACAAAACCTCTTTACAATCCCTTTGAGACTTGAAACACCATTCAAATTAGCACATATTTCACTATGAAGTGTTAGGGTCAATTAACTAAACAAATCATCTTCTTACCCTCAATTCTTTGGCTCCTGATCTACTATCTTTATTATATTTAGCACATATCAAATCATATCCTGCATCCCATATACTTAAAATAATCTGAAAAACACAGTTATTAACAAATGAAATATACTGGAGAGAGAACCATACAAAGATATCATTGATAAGCAATTAAGTGATGGTAAGACATGCAGTGTTCCTTTAAAACAACTTATGTCACTCTGTGAATGGGTTTGTCAACTCAGCATGTGTTTTGGAGAATTCACAAAAGTAATATTGTTAATAAGGAACAATATCATTCCAGAAGTAGCCCAAGGAAAATAACAATGAAATATCTAGAACTGGCTCAGAAAAATAAATATCTGTAGAAGCTCTAAGATTATTACCTCAAGAAACATATAAACAGAAAGAATAACCAGTCCTAAATTATATAAAATTAGAAACCATTGTAATTTAAATGGTGGACGATTTTTCATTATTTTTGGTCCTAGTAACACAAAGAGTATATATGCTGCAGTTAAAATCCATACTGGTCGTGGATCATCCTCTAGTAATAACCAGTATCTTGATCGTGGATCTGCAATAAATACATACAATAGCAAATAAGCACTGGATCAACAAAGTTATTTACTGTTTATTGTTAAGTCTTAAAGTGTTTCCTTCCATTTAGCATGCTTTCATTTGATATTTCTTTATCATTTAATTCTATTTCAAGCTAAATTGATACTTCCATGGTTGTATCTATGTGAATACTATAGTTGTATCTGTGTGAATACTGTAGTTGTATCTGTGTGAATACTGTGGTTGTATCTGTGTGAATACTGTGGTTGTATCTGTGTGAACACTGTGGTTGTATCTGTGTGAATACTATGGTTGTATCTGTGTGAATACTGTGGTTGTATCTGTGAATACTGTGGTTGTATCTGTGAATACTGTGGTTGTATCTGTGTGAATACAATGGTTGTATCTGTGTGAATACTGTGGTTGTATCTATGTGAATACTGTGGTTGTATCTATCAGAATACTGTGGTTGTATCTACATGAATACTGTGGTTGTATCTACGTGAATACTATGGTTGTATCTGTGTGAATACTGTGGTTGTATCTGTGTGAATACTGTGGTTGTATCTGTGTGAATACTGTAGTTGTATCTGTGTGAATACTGTGGTTGTATCTGTGTGAATACTGTAGTTGTATCTGTGTGAATACTGTGGTTGTATCTGTGTGAATACTGTAGTTGTATATGTGTGAATACTGTGGTTGTATCTGTGTGGATACTGTAGTTGTATCTGTGTGAATACTGTAGTTGTATCTGTGTGAATACTGTGGTTGTATCTGTGTGAATACTGTAGTTGTATCTGTGTGAATACTGTGGTTGTATCTGTGTGGATACTGTAGTTGTATCTGTCTGAACCTATGTTGTATTAGTATGGACCTGTATTATATCTGCACAAACCCTGTTGTATTTGTATGAGCTTGTTGCTAAATCTCTATGAACCTGTGCCTGTCTGAGCCCGTTCATTATCTTTCTATGAACCTGTGTTGTATCTGTATGAACCCTGTGGTTGTTTCTGTATTTGCCTGTTGCTTATATCTGTATGATTGAACCATTTGGTTATATCTGTATGATTGAACCATTTGGTTATATCGGTATGATTGAACCATTTGATTATATCTGTATGATTGAACCATTTGGTTATATCTGTATGATTGAACCATTTGGTTATATCTGTATGATTGAACCATTTGGTTATATCTGTATGATTGAACCATTTGGTTATATCCGTATGATTGAACCATTTGGTTATATCTGTATGATTGAACCATTTGGTTATATCTGTATGAGCCTGTCTGATGCTTATTACCTAATTGATGTTTAAAATTGTATAATTTGAACGCACAGTTATAATTGTTTTAGGGAAGACATAATTACCTGCTGTTTTTTTATCTTTATGATATTGTTCAACCAACTGATGTACTAAATTCAACATCTTGACTTTAACTGAAAAATAATCAATAAATGAAGAAAATATTATCACACCAGAGCAGCTCTGTGTTGGCTTTTTTCCCCCAATAGCAAAACTGAAAAAAATATTTTACTAATGTTATAGGGATGATGACCAGGAAAAGCAATGGAATTTGTAGGATCGTCAAAAGGAAAAGAGAAATCAGAAAATCACTGAATCGTTTACAGGCAACAACGAATAGAGTAATACATGATTTTTTGAAGAAATTGATGAAATTCCCAAGAAAAGAAACTACGTCATTTATGCTGGAGGAAGGTCAATATATATCTGGTATGCATTCTTAAGTGATAATGAACCATAGTACCAAGTGTCATCAACATCAAGTCAAGAGATGTACCTTCTAAAATGTTAACGAGCTAAAAATTGAACGTGTATTCAAAAACTAGGGCAATGACTCATTATTGGTAATATTGTTCACTTTTATTGAATTTCAATAGGATTCATAATTTCACCATTTTTCGTCTAAATCCATCAAGAATTGCACCATGTACAGTGGTTTGGATCAACAAACGGACAGATGGCTTAGACAGACATGGGTGATGCCAGTATACATTCCACATTTCATTTGTGTATATGAAATTCATTACCATAATTGCAATAATGATAATCATTCCTGAATATTACATATCATAGCAAACATCATCAGGATAAACTGATTTCATATGGAAAATATAGACTAGAAATTGGTGACCAGTACTATGTTTACTATGTTACTTTTCTATTTTGGTGGAAATGGCTCTCCACAAAATATATTTCCATTCACAACACGTGCATCAACAAAATTGTAGTGGTAGAGAAATGGATCATTTGAGGCATGGATTGTTTTAATACACTGTAACTTTAGAAGATAATAGATTACTGTTTACTTAACAATATGTATACAAGATCAACCGATCTGATCGACCGATCGGGCAGATTAGGATTGAAAATGAAATTAATTTTCGTTCCGAGTGATCTTGAGGAAAGTCGAGGCGTTTCAGTGCTAGGACCATAATATTTACCCACCTCAGATAATATTCCACTAACAAATGAAACTTTCTCTTGAGGTTTTATCACAATAACTAATGATCACATAAATATTAAGAGGCAATTAACCAATTACTATAATTTTTTTATCCCCAAAGATCGGCTTCCCTGGTCTCGAATGTCAGACCATGCGCAGTCTATGATGATCAACCAATCAGAAGGTCTGTTACACTTTATTGACCAATCAAATTACAGGTTACATTATTGACCTTCAACTCTACAACTATCGTCAGAGAGTCAAAGGTCAAGAAGAGAAAGAGCCATTCACCTAAATATTTAGCTTGTTTTATCAGGACACCATATAATCGAATGGGACAATAACAAGATTATCAATTAAGGCCCAATAGGTATCATGTGATACTTTCATAATACAAGTTAAATTTACCCTGTTATTTTCGCATTCGGGTTTACTATAATTACTCATTTTAAAATTATATAGCCTGGAATTGGAATATTTAAAACTATTGGTACGGTACCTGGTCTACTTTACCTTGCGCACAAGAAGCTAGGTTTATAAAAAGCAAAATAATTCCCAAAGCGTTTGCCTAAAACAAGATTGCCCCTTCCCCCCGACCCCACTTCTCATCTTCACTATTAAGCTATTACGAACTCCATTTAATACCTTCATTGCCTAATCATTATCCTTTCTTGTATATCGTACGGAATTTTGTAATTACAGCCATTTGATTGGATTTAACGCTAGCGAATCTAGAGGAAACCAGGGTACTGCAAACTGAGTCTGATACCTTGACTGCAATAGTCACCTTCTTTGTAAATTACGGAAGTTTATAATTGCGACTGTTTGATTGGGTTGTACGAATACATCCAACAAATTTATAGTCCTCGACAGCTAGAAAGTTTGTAAACAAAATGAACCATAGTCTTTCTGTAGAAGTCGCCGATTGGCTCACTGTATTCGCTGGCGTACAATCTAATCAAATTCCTGATATCACTGACATAGACATACTAATCGCAAAATATATGCTTTTGTACTATATCTCTCATAAGACTCAAATCTATATCTACTGTACTTTATCTCTAACTAGACTATCAAATCTATATCTTCTGTATTATATATCTCACTAGACTATCAATTCTATATCGTCTGTATTATATCTCTCACTATACTATCAATTCTATATCTTCTGTATTATATATCTCACTAGACTATCAATTCTATATCGTCTGTATTATATCTCTCACTAGACTATCAAATCTATATCTTATGTATTATATATCTCCTACTAGACTATCAATTCTATATCGTATGTATTATATCTCATATTAGACTATCAAATCTATATCTTCCGTATTATATATTTCAATATACTATCAATTCTATATCTATTGTACTATATCTCTCACTAGACTATCAAATATATATCTATTGTACTATATCTCTCATAAGACTATCAAATCTATATCTACTGTATTATATCTCTCACTAGACTATTAAATCTATATCTTCAGTATTATATCTCACTAGACTATCAAATCTATATCTACTGTATTATATCTCTCACTAGACTATCAAATCTATATCTACTGTATTATATCTCATACTAGACTATCAAATCTATATCTACTGTATTATATATCTCATACTAGACTATCAAATCTATATATACTGTATTATATATTTCACTAACTATCAATTCTATATCTACTGTATTATATATCTCACTAGACTATCATATCTATATCTACTGTATTATATCTCATACTAGACTATCAAATCTATATCTTGTGTCGATAATAAAGAATCGAAGATAAAGCTAGTTTTATTTTGTACCCTATAGAGAGAGGTTAATGGCTGAACAACTGTACGTATCATTATTGACAAATTGTCCCCACCCTCGGCCACCACAAACACAACTAAATTATATTCATATTGTCATAGTAATACTTTCAGCCACATTCGTAATATCAAGTAATTAAAAAATAAACATCGACCATAATAAACAATTTATTTGAGAAATATGACAAACGATGAATTAATTAAAAATGATCACCATTGTACTTTTTTGAACTAATTTAATAAAATTATCCAAATTCTCTGAGTTCGACAGTTTTGGACGTTAGGTTATATTCTATATTTTCTTCAAACCTCAACAAATCTATTGCCAGTTCTGTTATTTCTGATCAGTTACATAATATAAACAAGAATATGAATATGAACATACAACATTAAGTGCACGGCAATGATCATAATAATAACAAGACAGCCAGACACTACCCAAATAACTCTAGTTAATATTAATCACAAATTGTCTGGAAATTCTGAAAAACACTGGCTATCTCGGCAAGGTGTAGAGTAAAACGCTGGCAATACATCTGCAATAGTGTATTTCTTTAAACACTGGCACCAATTTAGTTTTGGAACTATCTTAAAATATCGGCATCATCCTGGAAGAAAGGTCTGATTGGGTAAAACTTCCAACTGGCATTCCAGTTCTGCTTAATTTGTATGCTGGCACCATCCTGGTAATATTAACATTAGTTCTTGGAGAACTCTTCCTCTCTTCTCCCATAAAAACCTCTTCGTAGTTGAGATTCATCATACCGGGTAAAACAACAGACATTCTAATATTAAACTAACCCTTCTTCTATAGATCAGGATTAATTGAAATTTCTTCTACTGCTGTAACTGATGAGGTACCAATAGAGTCTATCAATGGAACTGGCGACATGTCTTTTATATCATAATTTAATTGACCCATTTTATAGTTAGAACACCTTTTTTTATTCTTCGGGAATATCTCTTTCATTGTTAATCATTGCTTCAGTAATATAGACATTGTCGTCAATATAAACTTAATATCAGGAAAAAGGAAATTAAAGTTGTTCACACGAGGTTCAAATAAAAACAAAATCGGACTAATGAAGACAGACAACACCTTATAGTGTGAAATGACGCACAACCAATGAACATGAGTTGAAATTTCTGCCAAAACTCTTACTACAATGACTTATGAATTGAATTTTGCCAGTCATTTTCGAATGAATTGAAATATCAACTACAAAATACTATTGAGAGTTTTAGATTGTCTTTGGGTTGATAAAAATGTCAACCACTTGGAGAATCACTGGACCTTATATATGTATGGACCTGAAGACATTCTAAGATAAATGACATACAATTGAAAATCATATTTGGAATATCTATTCTAATTCAAAGCTCTATATGTTGTCAGAAAATAATTATTTTCTCGCTATATTGGTATTTCTAATTTCAATATACCGATGTTTTGATGCATTAACTATTTTCGGACATTCATTATATTAATCATAGTTATCATATCAGATCGTAGAACTCTTGAAACGCAATGGAAACTCAATGGGAACGCAAAATGTCCATGGCGGTTTTTATCTGCAAATACAATCTGTTTTGTATATTTCCTTATTTAATTCCACTCATGTCATACACTGAAGATCTAACAAGTCGTCATATTGCTAACACTGTTTATTGAATAAATCAAATCTTCTGGGGACCTTTTTACCACCACTTTGATTTAAACTCGATTCAACCGTCTGTACTCAAGTAAGTTCATTTAAAGCTTAAATTTAATTAAGCTTAATTTTGGAACGATGACAGCTATAGTACAGTGTACTTCAACGAAGTTGATAGTTAATAATTTGTTTAACACGAGATCGACAAGAATACGATGTACATACAACTTTTGACAATTCTTTATGTGTGGAGTTCATCGTGCTGATACTCCCAGTTCTTTCTGGACTAGACCACGATACTCCAGACGCAGACATCATCGACGGCTTCCTTGGAACATGTTGATTGTTGGTAATGATACGGATATCCGGTCTTTGCATATGTTCACCTATACATTTTCTGGCTTTACGGTTCGCATATCCACGATATCCTCTATTGAAATCCTCAATGTAAGCTGGATCATTCGACCAATTGTTCTCTTTGTTATCCACGTAGTTCTTCTCTAAATCAATACGTTGTGTACTCAAATATGACATGGGTGATACTGATGGAGATTCCGTGGTCGAGTTCGAAGGCGTTCTCACGGGTGACAACGGCATCGCATCTTCAGTTGATGATTCTCTTGATGGTAAAGAAGATAAAGACGATATTGACAAGTCTAGACATAGATGTCCAAGATATCTGCGAAAGTAACCATTAAAATTCTCCTGGGTTACTTTTGGTCGAATTGGTGTACTGGTAGCTGCAAAGCACTCACTGTTTAAGTTCTTCATTTTAGTCTTAAAGTGGAATTGGATGTTATGATATGGTGCAATGGTATTGATGCAATAATTATAATTATATTATAGAAGTACATTTAAACACTAAGGTCCCAACAATGACATATACTTTATAGGGTGCTGTACATAAATTATGTTCAACGCTGTGTCTAAAATAGCTTCATGTCGCTCGTAATTGACGACTCGATTGGCATGATTGACATATTTCCCATGAACTACACTAACGCCGGTGTCATATCTGATCAAGATTTTCGATTTTTTATTTTTGAATAGTAGGCTATAAACTACTAGAAATGGTTACCGTTGATATATTGCTAAGCGATAGCGGATCGCTCCCCAGCGGTCTAAGGTAAAAAAGTTCTGCTAGCGATCTGCGACATATCACGGTAATCAATGACAGCTAGTCAAATGATCACGTAATAAAATTTTGGTAGTTCAAACATCAGTGGCTGGTCGTTTAGGACTAGGAACGTTTGTGATAAAAAGTAAATTAAGATAAGATATTGATCTATATAAATAAAACAAATGATTTAAAATTTATTTTGAAAGAATGTGGCAGGTTAAAACAAGTACAAAATAAAGATAAAGCTTGAATTGTGGCTCTTTCCCAAAGTTAACTCCTTGTTTTTAACCCTAGATATCTCGCATGTACAAAAAAGTGCCGTAGCTCTTATGAAACATTTTTTTTTTTGTCGTGCCATATCCCTAAATTAGTGACAAAAAATATCAGAAAAAATGCGAAATTACAATATAATTTCAATCAGATTGGTTTCTAAGCGACAATTTTTAAAACTGTAAAAAAAAAGTATAATTACTTTATATAATCTTTGCACATTCAGAAAAAAATACTTGTAATTACTGTAGGGTGTAGGCACTTATTCCCAGTCGGATGCTTTCCACTATTTCGATAATCACGCGCGAATCATGCATTTGAAAGGAAACATGAACCCGATTGGATGATGAGGCTCTGTTTTGCAGACGATAAAACAATCGGCGACAAATATTAAACATGGTTGATATTATACATCCTGTCGGCAACGCGATAAACTTGTCGTCGAAGCGCGGCCGCACGTGAGACAGTTCATGTGCCCACACCTTACGCCTACCAACAATCTTCTTCCCCTCCCAGTCGTACACGGTTGCTAACATGTCATACTGGATTTTATCAAGCTGGCATTCTTACTTCGAATAAAGGGAGATAATCACAATACATTTCACAGACACAGACAGCAAATATCTTATTAAAATAGTATTATGCGGTCTACAAAATGGTTAAATGAGTATTTGTTTCCTTGCGGGAATTTAACACGGATAATTGTACTAGTAGTAAAAGGTGCTCCGAAAATCTATGCACTGGATAAGATGTAAGGAAAAAATCAGAAGAATCGTTCGTTTCCAACCATTTTTTATACGCCAACTTTATAATGAGAACCCCCCCCCCCCCCCCCCC